AGGGGAGCTCGACTTATTCGAACATCATTTGACTGGATATTCTTCAAATAATCGATAATCGAAGAAATGTTCAAATTTTGACCATGGTTAGTGGACCACACAGTATATATGAGATGATGGTTTGCATACAATTTGCACATTCCGTACAGGGTGTTTCACCTTAAATATCTCTCATTGTAACTTAGTTGTTTCTGAACCGATTTTAAAATTTCAAAAACCAATTAAAATGATGTTCCTAAGAGATTTTTCATTGTTATCAAAAAATGCACAGGTTGTTCATAACAAATAAACTATTGGGTAGTTGTTGATTTCTTTTTACTGAAACACTATTCTTTACCTCACTATCGAGTTGAGATTATTATGACGAATACAGCTCTACAGCATCTAGCGATATCATTTACACGCAGCACTCTTATAGCAATCATGCGCCAAATTGTCGAATTGTGCCAGAAATATGAATCCCGGGTTTGAAGTATTTCCTTTTTTTTGCTGAAACAATTCTCATATCTGAACAATGATTTGCTGCAGCAGCCGGGTAGAGTGTAGCACGTAATGATTTAGGAGGCATTCAATAATGTTTTTTCCTTTTGTCGGAGATCCGATATTTAAATATCTCAAAAACCATTTACTTTTGTATAATGTATATTATAGATTTATTCACTTCTTACTGCCTTCCCTACCAGTGGTATGAATCAGATTACCAGTAACCCTGTATATAAGAGCAGCGTGTGAATCTTATCACTAAACTCAACTATACTGGGTTTGATGAAGTCATGTCATTGTCAGTTACATGAGAAATAATGAAGGGGGCTGGGCCCTTGATTCTTTTTTTTGGTACGATCATAATCTCTGAGAGTTCAACTGAGAAAGTATCAGGTATATCTTTCGATCATGCCAAGATTTTTCAATAATCAAATAATATTCTTACTAACAGGTACTGATGACAACTCTGGAGAATCATCTTCAGACAGCGAGAGCGAAGATGACTCTGAAGATAATGATACAGAGGACGACGTATAATTTCTCCTTTGAAATATAATGTTGTTCTCATTTAATATAATTTCATTTTCAAATAATTTTTTTTTATGTGGAAAACAAAAATGTAGATTAAAGTTCAGGACCCCATACTATACCCAAAACATTCAACAAACTAAATAAACATTCTTTATATATTTTTTAGACGCCAGTATTATGATAAGCAGACCCATAAGCCCCAGGAAGAATTTCAATTCGATTTATTGTGAGTTTCGATCATGAGCAATAATCCACCCCTCTTCTCCCCGTACGATCCCTCTTGATCATCCTGTGAGTATCTTGTTGTAAATTTTTTTCATCATCTTTTAAAAACCCTGTTTTTCAAATTAAAATCACATAAAAAAAATTCTTGGTACTAAACCTCTCACACATGTAATTTTGTTGAGCTGTAAATTTCTGATGGATAAATACAAATATATCTGCAATTGGCGTCTTCGAATATCCTCATCACTACCAGGAAGATAATCTTCGACCCGGTTTCATGTGAAGTGAGATTATGAGACTTCCCGATTATCTAGTTCGCTTTCGGTGCACCTCTGGCCTGAAGTGCGGGGCGCCGCGCCGGACCGAGGCACGCGCGGGTTTGCCCGATTATTACAACGTATGCTCACATTGAATTCGTATGCAAATAGCATCCAGTTATAAAGAATATCCTAGTTTATCGGTCTAGAGATTTGCATACGAACTTAAATCATCGATTATTTGAAAGATGTCTAGTCAATTGATGTTCGAATAAGTCGAGCACCCCTCTCCGGAATCGTATGCAAATGTCAGGAAACTGATTAATGAATCAGAATTCATTGTTTCGCCAAAGGGCATACATTCTTCGATCATCGACTATAATATTGAAAAATTGCCACTTCCGGTTCGTATGCCTCCCTTGAGGAGTGACCTAGGCGTATGCAAACCAGCAAGCGCCCCAATTGTCGTGAGATAAGATCATTGCACTTCATTGCCGAGCTTCTTCTTAAACAAAATTTTGAACTTTTTTCCAACCGGAAGGTGAGGTCAGGGCCGGGGCAAGGACTGGGTTGCGACTCTCCGAGGCACTCCTTCCTGTTAACTTGGACTAAGTGAGTGGGTCCCTTAAATGGCATACCGACTTAGAACATCGATAAACCCTGTGTCGTAGGCCAACAGTCTAATATGGTATACGCGAGAATTTCAACTTGATTCGAGCGATACGTCGAGAGACAAGAAGCCACCGATTGGCCGACCGACTGCAGTAGTGTAAATAGCTACGCGAGCGTTTTCACCTAAAGGGGCGTTTTGACGATGAGATAGTCAGAAGTCATTAGTCCGTTGTATATTCGCTTATTGGCTTATTGGCTTACCCAAATGTTTCAGTGCATGAAATTCAAATAATAGTTTCTCAACAGTAGCATATTGAACGATGAATATTGAAAACAGTTTTGAAATAGTTATTTTTGTATCTAGAGCGCGAAATGCTACTTTGGTGATCGAGATCTGATTTTTTTAACGAGGCGTAGCCGAGTTGAAAAAATAGTCGAGATGACCAAAGTATTTCGCGCTCGAGTTGCAAACAACATTTTTTCTACAAACGTCAAAAAATATAGTTCTAAAGTGAAAATATGCTCAGCTTGATATGATGAAAAATGGTGTTGAACTGGCTTAAATGATGGCCTCCCCCTATCCTCCCTAGGTACGCACGATGTTCCACAAGCATAATAGGAATTTCCTTTCGTACGCTTTAAGAGATAAAACAAAGTTATTGTTGAACATTCAGAAATAAATGATTTCGTGGATGTTTGCTCGATTGAGGACCATAAAGTTGAAATATAAATATCTCATATATTTTTCAAAACAATGCGCGAAGTAGGTACTTCGCGCACTGTTTTACTCCGCGCATTGTTTTGTGCAAGGTATCATGGTAACGTAGGAAACTGAAAAAAAGTGTCACTTCACAATATTTTATCAATGCGCGAACCATGTCATTTTTTCACCTTTGTAGAAAAAAATTATTTATTCATCAAATAGCTCATTTTTTTTCTGAGAGTCATTTCCACTATTTTAAATGACAAAGTATGGCCAGGTAGCCGTGCGGACAGAGTGTCCATATTCTAATCCGCATTCGCTTGCCGGTCGTGGGTTCGAGTCCCGTCGACTGCAGACATTTTTTCTGATGGCCCAAGAAAGTGTTTGGGATCACACGTTAAAAGGTAAGGCCCCCGTCATTCCTTGCTCGCACAAGACTTTCGAAGACTTCTGAGGGTTGCTCGTAAGGGGGCAACCGAATGACGGATAGAACAATTTTAGAACAACAATTACAATAGGCGAGTGGACTAATTTTTTGTTATTTCTTGAATAGAATCATCACTCAAATACCTTTCAATTTCATATATTTTTTAAATTTTTCGGTAAATTTAAGGTGCTAAAATCATTAATAATGCTACGGTAATATTCAAACGGATAGAAATTTACCGCGAGTAAAAACTGACGTCACGATTTCGTAAGTAGGAAGAGACCATAGCACAGTTGCCATGTGTTGAAATACGATTGGGAACTTCAGAAATATTAGTTATTCAAACATTCATAAATCCTCAATTATGTATTGGTAATATTCCAATTCAGCAATATAAAATCAATTGTCTCAAAATGTTTCCTAATCATCTGTGGCTTATTACTCATAATACATTTGTGTAAATAGTAATTATAATATTAATTCTTACTAGAGGACATTTCAAGCGGTGAACGTGAAAACACAGCGCGCACGACTTGTGGGCGTGGTCTTGTCCCTTCTCAGCATTCAGCACATTGTTGCCAAGTCTCCAACATTTACATGATATTTTGTTATGGAGTTCTAAAAAATTGTTCTCGAATTGTTCTAAAATTGTTCTATCCGTCATTCGGGTTGCCCCCTTACGAGCAACCCTCAGAAGTCTTCGAGAGTCTTGTGCGAGCAAGGAATGACAGGGGCCTTACCTTTCAACGTGTGATCCCAAACACTTTCTTGGGTCATCAGAAAAAATTCTGCAGTCGCTGGGAATTGAACCCACGACCGGCAAGCGAATGCGGATTAGAATATTGACACTCTGTCCGCACGGCTACCGGAGTTTAGGAAATATTTTGGCATGCTGGTTGCTCGAAAAAGTTAAGAATAAACTATAATATCATGGGTTCCTCCTATTATGTTTTATTCAAGGACAGTACTCTTACATCTTTTTGATAACTGGATTATAATTGGTGACTTAACAACCTTGCTTCGTGAGTGGGACTATTTTCTCTGAAATAAAAATACTTTTTCGCTCGAATGATATCTCGATCCACAAAACGGTGCGAACCTACAAATAGGCAAGAACAACAAATAATGCCGAAATAAACGAAATAGTGGGAATTGGGTTCAAAGAACACGACAGACATGCGAAGTAATGAAATTCTAAAAATTGTTGGCACTACAAACTTGTGCACTGGCTAGCTTACACACCGACTAATATCAGGCCATGTGTGTCAAAATAGAGCGTATATTGAATTTTTTCAGATACTTACTCCATTTGAATGCGCTGCAGTTCTTTCGATATTAGTCGTATGAGGAAATGTTTTATACAAAATGTGTAGTAAATTTCCTATAAAATTGGTAATATATATTTTTGACCTTGGATACAAGGGGGTCTGAGGGACTTTCTTGAGAATCATCCTAAGTAGTGTTCAAACATACTGGAAAAGATTCCGCACTTTTTTCCAGTTTCCTACGTTACCACGACACCATGTGCGAAGCGGTGCGCGAAGTAAAACAATACGCGAAGTATATTATTCTATGTTTAGTAGAATCAATCTATCTAAAGAAAATACTTTTATTTTATCCGGATGCATCAATGAAAATTCCTTTCTCTTTGCTATCCCCAATGAGCCCCGACTTCCTTTGGCCTCCCTGGCCCCTGTCCTGGTTCCATCGCACTTATATCAGAAAAATAGAGGTTGAAGTATAACGAATATCTATATTACAGGAACAAGACAACTACGAGGATGCCGATTGTCAGGAAGTGGAAGACGAGGAGGAGGCCGGCAATGAGGTGGAGGTGATCGAGGATTCCAGCGAGGTGCCGAATCAAAGTGAGAGGTCCATCCAGGAGGATATCGAAGAGAATTCCGAGCAGCCACAATCCGAGGCCATCAGTAGTGGAACTGACGGTGAGTGGCAACGAAATATCAATGTGACAAAAATAAAATGATTACATTTGTTCATATATCTACTACTGTATACAGGGTGACATAGAAAAAAGTACATTGCATTGTGCCACATAATAGAGGACACTAAAATAAGGAAAAAAGTTCCTATGAACATGGGTCCGCATGGCCTTCGGTTAAAAGATACGGGGTGTCAATCATTAAGAAGAAGAATGGAAAAATGTATTGAAGTATAAGGGCAACAATTTGAACATCTTCTAAGAACTTAATGTTTTGTTCTAATATATCATATTTTTCATCATACCATTAAAATGTAATTGTTGAAGTATTTATCATTGTTTTTGCAAAAGTTACTTTGGCGCTTTTTGAATAATTTGCGTGCATTGTCGGCTTTTAGATGCATTTGTACTGGAACAATTGCTTCTAGTGACTTGGACAAGTTATACCTTTCTTGAATATAAAAGAAGGGATAAAAAAATTTTTCTGTCGAAAAATGACATACAGTGTTACCACCGATTCAATAGGGATGGAACCCTGTATGTAGCGCCCTCTATCAGTCATCACAAAACTATGATCATATTTGAATTCAACATGACAAAAAAACCCTGTATACCACATTTTATCCATTTCTTGCGTCTCTGGCTAAAGATATTCAAATAAAACCCCAAAAAAATTTAAATTCAACACCCCACCCCGTATCTTTCAACCGAAGGCCTTGCGGACCCATGTTCATAGGAACGTTTTTTTTTTTTTAAATTTTAGTATCCTCTATTGTGTGGCACTATAAAATGCACTTTTTTCTATGTCACCCTGTATATGAAGCATAGCTGTCCTCGAAGCGGGACCAACTTCTGTCTCTATAGGTAACGAAATCGATCAATAGGCGTTGAGGCCGACGTAGGGAAAAAATAATAGGAAACTTGTTAAACCAATATGGCTACGAATTTCAAATTTTTAAATGGGTCTTAGCGCGTATGTAATTGATTGTGATTGAAATTCGAATATCTGCGTTTTTAGTTGTTCAATGCTTTGTTGGTGTTTGTGTTTTCGTTTATTTTTCGGAATTTAGTATTTGCAGAGAAAATAATAGAATCCTCTTTCCATAAGTAAGTTTGAATGTTAAAATTTTCTTGTTTATAGATTGACCTGTACAAAGGTACACACTTATTTAAGTTATATTTCAGACTCCCAAAGAACCCTTAACAAAGGATCTTATGGCTTCAATCATTGGGGATAACTTATTCCCCCAATTTCATAATATGTAGTCAGCACTTGATACAAAATTTCCTGTTCCTCAAAGTTACTGTCATCATGCTTTGCTATATTTTAGCCACAATATAAAGGAATATATCGAAGTTGGCGGTATTATACTGTGGTATCATCAAAAATTTGATGATTTTTAATATTTTATTATGATCAATTGATTATTTACGAACCTAACCTAACTTAAAATCTGATCCTCACGTCAGCAGATTCCATCCTTCACTTTCCGTCCTTATAGATTAAAAAAGTACCTCTCATTTTGGTCCCTTGTTTGTTGAGATATCTTATAGGCGATTCGCCATGTATAGAAATAGTAGATATATGCATTTTTCTCCGATTGGCAGCAAATATTAATTTTGCTGACACATATCAATCAGCAAAGTATTACTTTTCCTGTCTAGGCAGCAAAGTGGGTACTTTGCTGCCTAGGCAGCAAAGTGATTACTTTGCTGATAGATATGTATCAGCAAAATTAATAATCCATAAATCTTTTATAATTTTCTTCATATTTCATCCGAGACTTCTCCGGCAACAAATTCAACTCTATATTTTTTGCCACCTCCCTAATTTCTGGAGGTGTAAGTACTTTCAGATCGCTATCACTGTCCATTATATAATAATTTAAATATACCGATATTTTTTCGCACGACTGTCAGAAATTTCATGAATTGTCAAACTATAATTATTATGGACATTTCCATATCAACCAACCATTTCAACAACTGCGATTTCTATCAAATTTCATTTAAATTAAACACTACAGGAAAAATGAAGAGATATATATCATTATGAACAATCGGAGAAAAAAATATATGTTCAACTCGGCAGCAAAGTAGATTGACTGCCTTAGCTGGATTCCTAGCCTCGCTACGCTCGGCTATGAATTCAGCCTCGGCAGTCAATCTAGTACTTTGCTGCCTAGTTAAACAAATAACTATTGTCATTGTTTTGATTGAACATACGTCTATCCCCATTCACCATCGGTGCCGCCAGTAAAAATTTCAAGGGGGGGGGGTTCAATCCAGAGCATTGCCTCAAATTGAAATCCTTCTGATTGATTTTCACTACAAGTGTGATTTGAAAATATTACGATGAAGATAGAAAGTAGGTTGATTATATGTCAGTTGATGAGTATAACAATAAAATCTGTCGATTTTTTTCAATACTAAACAACAGGTGCATTTTTTCATGCGGAGGGGGGGGGGTGTAATTCGTGGCGCGGGGGTGACAGAAAGCAAAAAAGCGCCACAGGCAAAATTGTTTGTTGTTCAAGGTCAAATGTCTTAGAATTGATAGTTAGGTTTGTCAGGGGAGCATGATAAAGGTGAGGAAAAATGAAAAAAAAATTATGAATGCATCATAAATATAATTATAAATGTCAAGTTTACTTCAACCCAGAAAAAAGCTTGAGTGTAATTTGGTAAGACAATTTAATGCATATGTAGATATCATTATTGTTGATTTTTTCTTCAATTTCCACACTCGAATGCTCTCTAAATCGCAACATTTCCACAGATTATAGATACTTTTCTGACAGCGCAAGTTTGAAAAAAAAAACATGAATACTATCAAAGTTTTGTTCACAATTTGGGTTGGCATTCTTTGAAATGTTGAGCTTCCGTTTCGTCGCTGGTGAATATAAAGCACACTTTTCGCTGTCATAATGACAAAATTACATCGGCTTACTGTCAAAATGGGAAACGACCTTGCACGCTGCAGTTTTGGCATTCTTCAATTTTTAGGAAGAAATAGATTAGATACTAGTTACACGTTGATTGCTATAAGATCAGATTTGTAAATCTTGATGTTAATTTTGATTAACCGCGCCTGCGAGACACCGAGATGGAAACAAAAATCTCACAAAAATTTTTTGAGAGAGAGAGAGAGAAAGAGAGAGTGTATATTTCATACGATCAGTTTCTTTTCCACGCTAAAGGAGCGTTGTGTCATCCTCAAATATCGTAAAAATTCCTATATTGGAAGAACAACTAGGTTGTTTTGATATATAAGAAAAATAATCGGACCCAGAACTGATCCTTGTGGAACACCCCATAAGATTTCCTTAGTGTGCGATAGTTTTTTATTTGATTTCACTACTTATTTTCTGTCACTTATGTTAGACCAAAACCAGTCATTACACACTCCTCTAAAGCCATAGGAGTTCATCTTTTTGAGTTGAAAGTGAAAAGTGAAAAAGTGAAAAGTTTGAAAAAACCCAAAGAAATCAGCACTTCCTCCACATATTTTTGCTTATATCTTCGTTTTGGTGCATTTTAGCTACAAATGAGTTCCATTAAATGTTGTAGAGGATTGAATTTCCTTAAATTCTCGTTTCTAATTTTGTTTCTAGGACTGATAATTACGGAGATATGATTTTTTTTATAAAATAAAAAAACGCATGTTCCGGAGTTTTGTCAAACTTCTAACTTTAGATCGCTGTAATTCAGTTATTGCCTATCGAAGGAAAATAAGTTCCAGAATAAAATTCGTAGAGAATTCAATTGCCTACAAAACACACATATATGTTTTCAACCAACCCTACAGAGTAGGGCCATATTGCTTTCTTTGGTTATTGTGACTCCATATTGTATTTAAAAAAAAAAATCCGTGGTGTTCGACAAAACCACTGTCAACACCTTACCTCAGGATAAATTCCTGGCCAATGAGGGGAACAAGGACCGATTTGTGAAGCTGCTCTGCAATGAAATGCAAGCGTCAAATATAGCCACAGACCAAGCTTCCGAAGATGCTGACAGGTGTATAGTTGCTACAGCTAAATGTCTGTCCCCCACGTACGACGCCGTGATCATTGTCGGAGAAGAAATTGACCTGCTCGTCCTGCTGACTGGCACAACACTTGCGGTGAACAATGTCTACCTCAAAAAACCAGCGAGAGGGAAACATCCAGACGCAATCTACTCCGCCTCCTCCTACAAGTACAATTCCAAAGGCTGTATCTTGCTCCTGCACGCAATATCGGGCTGCGACACTACATCTAATATTTTTGGGTTCGGAAAGAATAAATTCTGCCAACTTCATCATCATTGCTGGTGCAAGCGGAGAGGTTCGAGGACCCTGCTGCCAGTCTCCAAGAAATTTCAGCAGCACGGGAGAGAATCTTGGTATCCCTGTATGGTGGCAGTAAAGAACAATCGTTGAGCTCCCTTCGCTATAGCAGATTGAAAACAAGTACCACCAGACTCAATCTGGGTAAACTACCTCCGACCACTGACTCCGCACATTTTCACTTCCTGAGGACATACCACCAGGTCATGGTGGATGGGGATTGTCTAAAGACCCTATCAAGTGGGGTTGGTGTAGGAAAGCAGGAAGACTGGAGCCCATCAGGATGAGTAGAGACGCTGCTCCCCCAAACCAGCTCAAGACCATCTCATGCAGATGCACAACTGGCTGTATGGGAGCGTGTGGCTGTAGAAAGGCGGACCTACATTGTTCCGCACTTGGAAAATTCTGTGCTGGCCAAGAATGCAATAACAGGGATGAAGTAATCGTCGACAACGAAGACGATGCCGATCTACTTCACAATTTGATGAAAATAAAGACACAGACTTGAATAACTCACCCCCTACGAAACGAGCGAAGCGCATGTGAATGTTTCCTTTACAGTTCTCATTTCAATTACTACCGATTTAGTATAATTATAACTGTCCTTTGTTCTCACTTTGTTTGAATAAATAAATCTTTGAAAAATGTATTTTGAAATTACCTCTCATCAGGTAGGTAATCAATTGAAATAGTACCTGTATCTTAAGCATCGCGCTATGTCATATGAAAATTCAAAGTAGGATTAGTATAAACTCCAAATTCAAGCTAAAACTGGAAAATAGTTAGTGAATATTTTTAGATACAATGTGGAGTCACAACAAAAAAGCAATATGCCGTTGTTTTAACTTTCATTTTCACCCCCCATTCCGTAGGGTTGGTGAAAAAAATTTTACATGCATCCCTGTAGGTAATTAAATTCCCTACGAATCTTCTTCCGATACTTGTTTCCCTAGATTGGGCCATAAGTGAACTACAGCGTTCTGAAGTGAGAAGTTTGACAAATTGTCGGAAAATGCGATTTTTTACAGTTTTTTAAAAAGTGCATATATCTCCGTAACTATCAGTCCTAGGATCAAAATTCAAAACGTGAATTATAGGAAATTCAATTCTCTACAATACTTAATGGAACTCTTTTGTAGCTAAAATGCACCATAACGATAATATAAGCGAAAATCTGGAGAAAGTTCCGATTTTTTTCGGTTTTTTCAATATGACAGTGGGCGCGGAGGAGGGGAAACTGTGCATTTTGCATTTTTAACACCATAACCATCCTAAATAACATCAAAAATTCAGAACTACTGGACCGTTTGTAAGGTGAACCTCCTCTATTCACTGGATTACAAGTACTGTTGCCAATAATAGTCGGAATCAGTGATGATCTACGAAAAACGAAAAACAATGTGGAGGACAAAAATGTATCTGCGGTTCAACGGGTCTTGGGATTCAATCACTTTTTCAAAGAAATTACGTTAAAAAATGGTGGTGTCTGATTGGTCTATTACACGATGAGAGAAACAATAGAAGAAGAATCATCTTCGTCGAACCCACCGTGCTCCGAGCCCTGCTACCCCGCTATTTTTCTGAACTAGGCACTAGCGGCGGCGTCACCATCTCCCAGGCCTCCACCTCCGTCTCGCTCTCGGCCCCGCCCACGACCCGTCCCCGGCCGATCCCCCCGCTCCCCGCCAGGCACCACCTGCCCCAGCACCACGACGACATCGGAGACGACGGCATCGTTCCGTCCACGCCCACTCTGTACGTGCCGCGCCGCTCGGACGGCTTCGGCGAATCGGTGAGCTCGCCCAGCGTGCCGACAGGTGGGCGGTTCACGTTCGCCGACGGCGGCTCCGCCCACCTGCAGGCGCAGGGGGCGTTGCCCGAGCAGACGCTGGAGCCCGCCCATCACCACCAGCCGGACGAGAGCAGTACGTGACGAGCATTATGTCGCACGTTGAGAACAATAGTGTGATCATTCAGAATTCTTTGTTTCGAGAAATTCGACTCTGGAAAGTTTTCACTTCTTGAAGGTGATGAATTTTCCTCTGGTGAACTTCATCCACCGCGAAATAGTACATTATACGACAAGGGACAGAAGTGCATGATTTTTTGCAAGGTGCGATTTGTAGCTCGGCGGCGAAGCCCGAGAGATACAAAGCACTGAGGGGAAAATAGCGTTCTGTCCTGAGGTGTATATACTATTTTTTACGCTGGCGAGAACAAAAAATTAAGAAAGAATAAGGTCAAGGTGTTTTTTCATAATTAGTAGTAGAATAGTTTGTGGATTCCGTATCTTGACAACATGCACCTTGTTGACAACCCATGGTCACAGCAAATATCAAACTGAAATTTACAGCTTTAAAAATGGTTAACGGTTATGGAACAAGAAATCGAGGAATAACCCCAAGAAAGTATTGATACTGCTTCTGCAGTGATTCTTAACTTGCTACCAGTGAGATCTAGAAATCTGTATGATGCAGCTTGTACTCGCTTCAGAGAAGGGTGTTCCCAAAAGAAAGCGCAGAGCTATGCGGAAAATGTAAAGTTAGTATTAATTCCTTAGGGGATAATACGAGACTTCTTTTCCCCTCTTTTGTTACCAGAGAAACTAACTTCTACTCCCGCCGGCATAAAAAGTATATTTCCTGTTAGTTCCTATTATATGGCATGCGAAATTTTTGGTTATAATATTTTAATATTTTTTTCGAATTTTTCAAGAAATAGTTTCGAGTTGTTACAGTTTTGATTTAGGATATTCGACAATTTTTTTAGATGTCACTCCTAAAAAGCAGTTTTGCAGTTCTTCTTTTTTTGAGGACTATCTTCTCCTTGTTGCCATTTTTAATTTTTTCTGCAAAAGCTGGTATTGTCTACTCCATTTCATTAAGTGCAAGGCATGCAATAATGTGAAAAATCGAAATATTCCATATTGTTATCGATACAACTCAAAAATGTGTTGCGTTTAATTCAATATTTCATTCACTGATGAAAATGTTATAACGGGACAATTCAAAAAAAAATCAAAATGTGTTTAAACAATAAGGTGACTTCATGACTGTCACATTAGTTACCATAAAAAATTCCTCAGTCAAAATACAAGGCGTATCCTGCGAAGACTTGGTGACAAGGCAGAACGTCACTTTGACCAACGTTGTCACGCAGCAGCTATTGGACCTACAGTTGTCAAGATACTTCAAGACTGTAGAGCTCGAAATTTGCTAATCAACGGTGGTTCTAACTCAACTCGAGTTTTGTCACACTATTGTTCTCAACATGCGATATCTAATGATGACTAAACGGGTAACATACATTGTTTTCTTGATCGAAAGGAAGGCCAGTTTTGAGAAAACAAATGACAGTCTGCGGGTGAGAGAAGATAATATGTGCGCAAACACAAAATTGGTCAAAATGAAGGACGAAATTGGTATTTAAATGTTCTAGGATGTGTTATTTCGTGACGTCTCGAAATTAATTAAGTCCAGAGTCCATATGATTGAATATTTAAGGAACGCACTGCACCTTGGAGAAGTCTTATCGGATATCCTTTCTGTGCAGTATTTATTGCTTTGACATAATCTTGTTTGGTAAAATGATTTGTGCACAAGAAAAATCAGCAACATCATCATGTTATCTATTCAGTCCACAAATTCCCATCCATTTATTTCTTACACTTGGATCCTTGGAGAACAGGACCTGCTTGTTTATACAGGGTGTCCCAGAAGTCATTGATCAAAAGAAGTAGGGTGGTAGGTGCTATCAAAGTAACGGTATTTGTGGTTATCAGTTTGTTGATGGTTCAAAAGTGGTCCAATTTTTCTGAAAACGCCACTCATTAAAATAAAATAACAAAAAGGCTGTTTTGAATAACTCCATATGTTATACCATTTCGGAATCTGTATTAAATGGACTTTTTCTTATAATTGGTTATCTTTGTGGGGTAGTTTTTAAATCTACCATTTAATGCCAATTAATAACTTTTGAACCATTAACAAGTGTATAACCACATACAGACTGATCCACGGTGGATGGCCTATTAGAAGTATCTGGAGAACGAAAAGACAGAACATTCTGAAAATTGGGATGCTTTGATAATTGAACATTCCTCATCCGTCTAAAATATTTTCATCGATAAAGTGTTGCCACTTCTATCAGAAGCAACTAGTAACTTCGTTATTTTGAATGAAGTACCCTGTATTTTATTGAATTTTTAGATTCTCCCTGAGAATCTGATTTCATCAATGTATCACACTTGGGGCCTAGCAGGAATGATTACATAGATATAGGGTGTTCAAAATCGAGAAATTTTCAATTTCAGGATTTTTTTGTGTCGAAACTATTCATTATTGATCAAAACGGCTTACATGTCCCTATCTTAACTTTCGATTCACTATCTACTGACATCTAATTGGAACAGATACAGGGTGATCATAATTCTGAATCTTGAAGCACCCTGTATTTTTTCCAATCAAATTCCAGTAGATAGTCAATCAAAAGTTAAGATAGGGACATGTAAGCCGTTTTGATTGATAATGAATAGTTTCGACACAAAAAAATCCTAAAAGTGTGATGCATTGATGAAATCAGCTCTTCAGAAAGAATCTAAATATGCAATAAAATTCATCGTGTTCTATTTGAAATAACAAAGTTGCTAGTTGTTTCTGATAGAAGTGGCAACACTGCATCGATGAAAATATTCTAGACGGATAGAGAATGTTCAATTATCAAAGAAACAAAGAATTTTCAAGATGTTCTGTCTTTTCGTTCTCCAGATACTTCTAATATGCCATCCACCGTGGATCACCCTGTATACGGTTAGTTTTATTGGAAATGACCCACCCTACCACCCCATTTCTTCTGATCCATGACTTATGGGACACCCTGTGTAGGCGAACTAGGCAACGGCCTAGGACGATCGTATTATAGGGGGTGGCAATCGGCGGCAACAAAACTGGCAAAAAACTACCTATTTACAACTTGGAAATACTCCCCCTTAACCAAAATTAGGGCAACAAAAATATATCTCACCCAACCTAGCGTTTTTTCAAATTTCACTCTTGCATATGTCGAAAAGGAAGGTGTATACACAGAAGAGAATAAGTATTATTGTAATATACCTGTAGTAAGGTCAAATCAGATTTGCCCCAAAATGTCACTGTGTTCAAAATTTGTCTTATAAGTGAGCAGAAAAGAAGAACCAATCAATTGTCAATGACACCTTGTTTTGAAAAATGTTTCAAAAAGAAAAATATGGGTACATTAAAAAAATACAAATTTTTACTTAGCTTTGGACGTTTTAGGAAAAAATCTGCTCCAGTTTTCAACATATAAAATGGAAAATATATATTATTCTTCTCGAAATGTCTTCTGATTTTAGTGTTGGCACTTCTCAGTGACAGACTTTGATGCAAACATATGAGTTACAGAAATTTCCTTTCGTGTGCTCCAAGAGATAAAAAAAACATCTTGAATATACCATGTTCATGTTCACATTTTAGTAATCATAATTTAAGTAAAAATTTGATATTTTTCATGTATTTATATTTCTTTTTTCAATCATTTTACGAAATCAGTCAGTCACTGACATCGATTGGATTTTTCTTTTAGGCTCACAATTAGCAAATATTTTTAAACACTCTGACATTTTGGCGCAAATCATCTGATTTGTCCTTACTACAGAGGTGTATTGAAATTATACTAATATTTTTATTTGTAGAAACGAGAAAAAAATTCAAAAAATCTGGAGAAACGAAAAACTCCAAACTCAAAATATTGAGGCACCACCAAAAAGTAACCAAAAGTTTGAGATACATTCTTGTCAAACTACTTGTCCGATTTGTACGTTTTCGTTCTAAATGCCAGTTAATCTCCTTCTGAATATTGGCGTGCAATCATCATTCGCATAATCTCCTCTTTTTCATGAATACCCTGAAGAGTGTAACAGTTACATTATCAAGTTAGTAAAGAAATTACACTTTAGCCTTATCTTTTTTCAACATTCCTTGCTTGGATTTAATTCATTATATTTCCTATTACTTAAGGAACACATAATTTTATAGCATAACATGATTTTATTGAATTCAATAAGCATTATAAGCACGTAAGTAGCAGGCTATGGTCTGGGGAGGCATTTCTCTTACTGGTCGCATGGAACTCATGATCATAAATGGAAGCTTTACAGCTGAAAGGTACATATTGGAAATTTCAGAACCACATAGAGTGTAAAGATGTTTTTCTACAAGCGTGCGTGATTCACCCTATACTCGCACGCAATTTCGTTTGGGCAGTGTCATTTTCCCGCAGTAGTGCAGGAAAAGTTATCTCACACTAGTGCAGGATTTTTTTTCTACACTAGTGCGGGAAAAACATCTATTATATATATATATATTTGCAGGAATAATTGATTGAACAAATCAATCAATTTCATACGCTTGTAGAAAAAATATTGTTCCAAACTCATGCGGAAAGTGTCTTTCCCGCACTCACCCAGCTCTGCTTCGCGTCGTTCGAGTCAACGGCATTCGCGTGCGGGAAACTATCACTTTCCGCACTTGTTAGAAAAATTACTATTGTTTATGCACGATAATGCCAGTCCTCACGTCGTCCGAGTTCTGAGAAATTATCTAGAGGAAGTATCGCTACCATGGCATTGTCAGCTCGCGCCCGGTCTTACATCCCATTGAGAATCTCTGGAACATTCTTAGGACAAAATTACAAGAGGAACGAACGTGACCTGAATACTACGAAAGACGCATGGCAGAAACTGTCTCAAATTTGGGAAGACCTGGACCAAAATGACATAAAGTTGCTCTTATCTTCACCAGACCAGACTCTTGTTCGAGGCGGAAATACTCTCTACTGACCATTTCGTTTAACTTGTGACTTCACGTTTTGTTTAGTTTTTTTCGTTGTTACATTTGTATATTAACTTTCCATAATATCATGTTATGCCATAAAATGGTGATTCTCGACTAATAGGAAAGATAATGAAATGAATCCAATAGAGAGATTTTGAAGAAAGATGAGGCTAAACTGTAATTTCAATTCCAACTTGATACTGTAACTATTACACTCTACAGGATATCACAAATTCCATGACAACAAGCTTTAATTGGCGTGTGGACTATTTTTTTTATTTCTCAAATGAAATAGAAATTCACCGCGAGTAAAAACTGACGTCACGATTACGTAAGTAGGGGCAGACCATAGCACAGTTGCCATATGTTGAAATACGATTGGGAAAACTAGCTTCCAGTCAGAAATAAAATTCTCGTATGAGGAAGTTGATTACAAACAACAATAATAAAATAATATAAGGTGACAACAACAACAACAAAATCTAAAAAATCTAAAAATGCTAAATCGATCAAGTCATAAAAATAGCCACAGGGACTAATCAGTAGATGGCAAAGTATAAATTTTATCCATTTCGTAATGAGATAATGTGTTTTTTTAATTCAATTTTAAATTTTGAAATATGTCTGCAATTTTTTATATCAAGTGGTAATTTATTAAATTCAGCTAGAGCAGCGTGAGTAAATTTTTTTTTGCCAATTATAGAAGTAGCAGAATCAAGAATAAGTTTGATTGTCTCGTGTGATGACCATGAATTTCGGAGTTTCTTATCAAAATAAAATTGGATTTCAGATTATTGTTTATTATATTATAAGACACTTTAAGAGAATCTATTTTATATAATTCATCCAATGAAAATTTTTCTATTATGGCATACAGATCATTTGTTGGGATATCAAATGAGAGGCGATACAATACTTTCAGTGCTTTCTTATAAAGTGCAGATATTTTACTGAAATAATTTTTTGAACAAGATCCCCAAACGTTTATCATATAGGTAATACGACTGAGTATATGAGAATGAAGTACTATGTTTATGACTTTTTTGTCAAGTTTAGGACATCTTCGCAAAGCTCGAATGATCGGAGATATTTTTTGTATCAGAACCTCTATATGCTTGTCCCATTTCAATTTTTCATCAATCCACATACCAAGATACATTATTTGTGTAGTTCTTTTCAATACTTTATTTTTAATTTGGAGATTGAGACTAATATTCTGTTTATTTTTTTGATGGAATATTATATATTCAGTTTTATTGGTATTAATTAATATGTATTGGTAATATTCCTAATTAGGATTAAAAAATCAATTGTCCCAAAATGTTCCCTCATGTGTTGTAGCTTATTGCTTATAATACATTTGTGTAAATGATGACTATATTGATTACACTAGATGACATTTGAACTGGTAAACGCTCGGGTAAACGTGACAACACGACGCACGACTTGTGGGTGTGGTCTTGTCAGTTCTCAGCATTCAGCACAATGTTGCCAAGTCTCCAACATTCACATGATATTTTGTTATGCTGGTTGCTCGGAAATGTTAAGAATGGACTATAATTTCATGAGTTCCTCCTATTATGTTCCATTCAACGAGAGGACTCGTAACATCTTTTTGATAACTTGATTATAATTGAAGACTTGGTAACCTTGCTTCGTGACAAATTACGAAACAGCATAAAAACTTATGTCACCATTTATTCGACATATCGCCTAATGGCGGCCATGACGGTACGTTTGAAATGAGCTATGAAATTCAACAATTTGGAACAACGCATAATCTCACTATTTACATAAAAAAAGCGTGAGAAGCGTTGCAAAAATTAATTTAGGTCCCTAACGACACAGTGGAGTAATTGAATGCCAATAATTCAATATTAGTCTACTCGCCCATTGCTGTACCTGGATTACCTGGTATGTAAACGTCCACATGGGACGAGTAGTTCTGACGAAAATGTATCTAAAACTTCTGGCTACTTTTTGGTGGTGCGTTAATTTCTTGGAGAAGTCTAGTTTTTCTCGCAGACTGTCATTTATTTTATGTTTTGGCTTCACTGCGGATACCCTTGTTATCTATACAGTTATTATTATACGTATGGTGACGAGCCGCTCGCGAGAAACCGAGCGATTGTTTTTTGATGACGTGTCTCGTTTGTTGCAGGTACTGGGAGGAGCGTGCCGACGACGCCTTTGCAGTCGTCGCCGCAGGAGGGCGTGCCGGGCAGCGATGAGCAGGACGGCAGTGGTCACATGACGCAGTCAGACGGTGAGTCAATTTTCCGTATTCCACTTCCAGGCGATTTCAAGGCCTTTGCATTGGAATTGAGGTCTTTTCTATCTTCAACGAGAGAGCGGTAAGTTCTCTCCTCTTCCATCTTTCTCTTCAATGATACCAACGTAGCCGCATTGAAATATAGAGAGGTACGATAAATCTGTCCTTGTCTAACATCTAGTTTGTGCCACTGAACTATTTGTGAATTCAGCAGAGAGTCAAATTTAACGATATTAACAAATTATGTCAAAATAAGTATGATATAATTCGAAATTTCATTTAACAAATTCGAGTTTATTAGTCAATGACATTTATGACATAGACATGTCACATTATTATAACATCGATAATAGTTCAGTGGCGCAGAGTAGACGTTAGACAGGGACAGATTTATCGTATCTCTCTATATTTCAATGGGGCCACGTTGATAGCACTGAGGAGAAATATGGAAGAGGAAAGAACTTTCTCTCCTTCAAGGCAGAAAAGAGCTCAATAGAGAACGTGAATACAATTTGAATGTGCATATAACTGATAGCCGTATCTAGAACCAAGCTGACGCCGATCTTATTTTCAAAATTCCTCCACGCGAAATGCGTCATGTCAGTAGTGACATCAACGTTTCACGTGGATCTTTTCCCTCTTGCGTGGATTATTCCTTTATGAATAATCTATGCCAATTTATCTCAACGAGTTATGTTACATATCCACGATGTATGTCTTGTAGTGCCATCTGTCAGCAGAGTGGTTTACTTGTAGTACCACTCTGTAGCGTATAGACGTAAGGGTCTACGTGTGACTATAGATGGCTGCGGCATACAGTGTGTGTCGCGATCTTTGGATCCTACCTTGGAGCTTTGCCGCTAGATGACCACAACATGACTATAACCTCATGTTATACCCTGCGTCACTGGATGGGATCAGTTAGATGAGAGTTCAGACACAGAAATGACAACTGTTTGTGTTTTTGAATGTTTAGATTTATTAAGTTACCATAGTAGTTTTGCAATAATCCATTAAAAATTGTTTGAATCTGACAATACATTTTATGAACGTCAGAATGTAATTTCATAAACTATCGAAATAAAAATAATAAATGGAAATGTCCGCTGTGTAATGATTTGTGGAAATTCTGAAGAGAATATGGATTTCATTTATTCAATTCTCCAATGGAAATATCAACAATTCTCTCATGAAAGGAATGTATACGAAACGACCTGGATGGAAAATTAATTTGAAGTAGCAAAATTTGTGAGCTAGATACTAACATACATTAAAATTCACTTCTTATAACACAGTATATTGAAATGAAACAACTCTATCTTAGGACCAATTTCAAACAGATGATTTTTAGATCCGTTTGAGAGAATTGTTATTACATCCATTCTTTCAATTTTCATAACAGTTGTTCTGCGAGAAGTGTATCGCTATAAATTGAAGTGGGCGTTTATACCTTTTTTTCATTCTTCATCTACGACTATGATTGATTTGACAGAAACTCTAACCCCTAAAATGGTATCTTACAATCAGGCGCTACTAGGAAAAGTGAAAAGGCAAAGAGCAGAATATATGTCTTATTATTTTATTCACTCAAACCATTGTGATATAGAAAATAGAAAAGGACAGAAGTTCAGCTATGTCCGAACTCTTATCTACCAATACCATCCAGTTACTCCAGACCTCACTATACATTCATGACGCATCTCGCATAAAGGAATTCTGAAAATAAAGTCCACGTCAGCTTGGTTCTAGATACGGCAATAACTGAAATACAGTGTGTCCAAGATAAGGATGTCTATCGGGGTAAAATTCGTGATAGTTTGTCGTACTGAAAATCTCTCTAAGCTGTTTTGTAGAGATTGAAAAGTGGCAATGAGAAAGTTTGTTTTGTTTTCCTGTATCTCAAAAAAAAAAATAAAAACGATTCCCTTGATGGACATCTTTATCTTGGACACAGTGTAACATAACATGAATGCATCAATTTTTATTTTTTCGTTAAAATATGCTGTAATACTTCAAAAATCATCATTTGAATACCCTACAGTTTCATGGAACGTTCGGCGTACACAGGTCAAATGTTATACATAGAGGGAGAGTAATTTCTCCATTAAAAAAATATATTCATTTAAAATGTCTCAAAAACTGCACATTTAACAGTTGAACTAGTTACAATGCAAGACAAACAGGTGAATTATGAGTGCACAAAATTACAGTTTAAAATCTCATCAAATGAATAACATTTTTTCGGCAGTAAAAATTTCGTAAGATTCCCTATGAATTTTGAACCCTTCAATTGTTTGAAATTGTCATAATAAACATTAAAAAAACGTAAAGCAAGGCACCTAGGCCATCTTGACACGTTTCTAGTCTACAGAATTTGGGCTAGTCAGTACTAACGTGATAACCCTTTTCCTGTGTTGCCAACTATTTTAGTTTAAGGAAATATTAAGTAAATATTTCTCAATTTTCGAATCGATTCAGTAGTAAATGTAGTAGTATCACTAACAGATGAGATGTAGTAATAATATAGTAAATGTCACTAATATTCATTTCACCCTCATCTTAATTCTAATCCTAGGTTTATAGCTGACATGCTTACTAATTGAGTAAGGCTGAAGCACATTGTAGGTTCAATCACCAGCGACAAAATTCGGTGTAATCCTAAATTATACGTTTATATCATTTTATTTCGAGCCACCGAGGTTTATACAATCTAACTGAATGAGTTTGGTATACTTGCCATTTCAATGATCCTAAAATTCTGATGACATCACTTAAATATGAATGTATTGATGTGTCACAATCCGGTTCATAAGAAAACAAGAACATGTAATGTAAGTTTTAAACTTTCTTGCTCAGTTCATCCATGACGTTCTTGAAATCAGTTAAATCTTGGGAGAGATGGATATTAAAATATCCAAATATTGTATATCGAAAAGTACTTGTGACGTCAATATAGTTCGGGAATATATTTTGAGAAATCTAGGAGAACTAGGAAAATCAAAGAAATCTCTTCATCGTGAGGAACGTCATAGTATTTTTCATGAATGCTTGAGCACGTTTGAATGTGTGAGAGTTTTCAATGTTTTTGGACGTGTCTGGTGATTCATGTTATTTTTTCAAGCCTGAAATTGTTTGCCATCATATGACATGATAAGGATGGAAAATTATTTCTGATAATACCATTAAACAATGCACCAAGTGTCTCAACATAATATTTCCCAGATTAGGATTATATTGCTGGAAAACAAGAGAATGCAAAATAAGCTGTTTATATTCATTATGTATTCTCATTTTTTTAGATTGAAAAACTAACCTGAAGCTATCATTTTATCATTTATCATATCTAATATATTCTTTTCTTTTTTCAAAGTTCAGAAAACGAGCAAAGGCAGGGCAGCCCCTAAGTAGACTGAATTTCTTGACGTTTGATGTTATAACTGAGGATTACAAGATTACAGATTAATTTTTATTTTATGAATTATTTTATGAAATAATGTATGTATCTGAATAAAATATTATTTCTATTTTCGTTTTGTTTTTAGTTCCTTACAAATTAAACATGGAATTGTAGATGAAGATGATTGAATTAATTTACTGGAAGATTTTGAAAAAAGAACTGAAAAACAGAATGATAAACTGAAGTTTCAGTTTAACACTACCCTTAATAAATGTTATCACTATACTCAAATCAATTTTCAATTAAGCAAAAGCATAATAGACATCAGTCTGTAATGAAATTGATTTTATCAATCAGTAATTTTGTATCAGGTCATACATCATACAGAATATCTTAAATTCTTGGCATTTTCATTTCATAATGTACACGGATTGGACAAGGATTGGAAACAGGTTGTGCTAGTTTTTGGTAAAATATGAAAAAAATATATTGAATAGGTCTCAGATTGCTTTAGAAGTCCTTTAAGATTTGGTTATGAAAAATGTCGCTATATTCACTGATGTGATAGGAAATATTATTATTTTGTGATTGGTATAGCTTCGTCACAATAGATAATGTCACATAGAGTATTGGATTTTCCGCCGGTGCTATGCAGTACAAAATTTTCGTTATAACTGGATATATATTTATTGTAATCTTTCATACACCAGTGATCCAGTATCGATATCTTAGCTTCGCAACTATAGAGGAAAGAAATTGTATATCGCAAAAGTCATTACTCTTATAATAAATTTATATTTTCCAATGAGACAGATTATAAACATCCCATTAACACGCCAAAAATCTCATAGTCACTCAATGTTATGCGTAATTTAATTTTCGACACCATTAATTCTTAATTATTCCTTCATTCACTATTTTGTAAACTCGCATTTATTTTTCATGTAAGAATAAAGAGATGACATGGATAGCAGAGCTCGCTTCACACTAGTTAACCAGCGTACTACAAATATATCCAATTATATTGGTCGCGTGCACATTTGACAGATGACCGACCCTAGAGGTAAATCAACCTCACTTTTCTTATTTGTTTACAAAGGATCGAAATAGCTTGTCACAATTATTTTGCCATACGAATCATGTTTTTTGGACTATTTATCCATTCATTCAAGCATGCCATCACATTGTGCTGTTGTAGTATGCACAAAAAATGCAGCGAAAGACGAGAGACTTTCAGGTAGGTAGGTAGGTAGGTATTGTTATCTAAAGTACTGCACTCACATGGTTTTCATTTTGAAATTCTGTAATTTCTCTTTAGAATTCCTTCAATAGGAGCTAATAGAGTGAAAACGTCTACAATACACACGAACAATGTAATTTCTCTTATTAGAGTTCCTTAGCTTAAATGTCCACAAAACACATGACCACATTTCGTCAGTAGGTATTTCAGAATAGTCATTCCGTTCGATTACACAAATCCAAGCTTCTTGTCTTTATTTATAAACTTCACAAGTCTCCATTAGCTCCTATTGCAAATTGCAGAAGAAATTCTGAATGTGAGTGATAAATTCGTACAGTTCTTTTAAGAAGACAATTTTCCTCAAAAATAGAGATTTGGGGTTCTCGCGAACGTTGGCTACATTTCATAGCCACCTTCTAATGAGGTCCACAGCTTTTATAGTCAATAATAATAAATAGTGCTCAATATTTGTAGAAAATTGAAACTATTTTGCGACAAATTGTGTCAGCAATAAAGTAAATATGAAAATTTGTAATAGGACAATGTTGCCACATATTTACAAGGCCCTGTGATGAAAAATCCACTGAAAAAATAGAAACTATCTAATTTCATGGATGATACTCGAAATGTTATATGAGTGTTATATATATTTGGAAAGCGCAAGGCATCATTTTTTCAAATATGAAAAAATATACAGGGTGTTCCATTTAACAAATAGCTGGGTTAAATCCGCATAATTATAGCTTATTTCGAAAATCTGACTGCGCCAATGGATTCTACGTGAAAAAATGTCTAGAAAAAAATTTTCAATTTCGCCTATATCTCGAAAACGAAGTAAGTTATGAAAATTTCGTTTGCGGTATCGTGAGTTCCACAAAAAAGTAACCAACGTTCGCGAAAACCGCAAATGTCTATTTTTGAAAATTATTGAGATATCCCGTAAGGACATCGAAAATGGGACAGCATGTACAGCAGCACAATGTGATGGCATGCTTGAATAAATGAATATCCCAAGAAACAGGATTCGTATGCCAAAATAATTGTGAAAAACTATTTAAATCCTATGTAAAAAAATCAGAAAATTGAGATTGTTTTACCTCCAGGGTCGGTTTTCTGTCAAATGTGCACAAAAAACGTCCAGGACTGTAACTTTTGAATTATTCGAGATAGGGTTTTGAAAATTGGTGGGCAGCTTGTATACTAAATTGCTCATTAATTGACGAAACAATTTTTTTCACCGGATACGACCCCAACTTTTGATTTGATATTGGGAAGTCACCCCCATTGAGCATATAGAACGCAAATATCTTTGTGATTGTTTGAAATAACCCTATCAAACCCGGTATCGTTGAATTCGTCATGATAATCCCTAACCCATTATGGAATACAATAGAGGGTGTACCATTCAAAAATTAAAAGCTGGGGTCGTTTCTGGTGAAACCAGAAGTGATAAAACAAACATTGTTTTGTCAGTTTATGAGTAGTTTGGTATACTTGCTACCCACCAATTTTCAAAACCTTATCTAGAATAATTCAAAAGTTACAATCCTGGCAGTTCTTTGTGCACTTCTCTGTATAACGAGAGTAAACTTTGCAGGATACAAAATGAAATGAATTCACAGTTCTTATATGAATAGCACAATAATAATATAAATGGTCGAAATTGGAATTGTAGTATCTTGATGTTTGTGGATAGTGGACTGGTAACAGTTGACTATGGATGTCAATGATAATCGAATCAGTATCCTGCAATTATTGCAATAATACCGAACGTTTGATGACTCACTTCCATTGTTCACTACAATAAAAATATCACTAGTGTAAAGTCGCCTAGCGTCCAGACCAATGAAAAGCAAGGTCACACACTTCCTATTTCAATACCCTTTATTTTATTAACTGGAATGTACCTCGATTCTGATTTTCTAGCAGAAATCCCCTCGATTACAATAAGCGCCATCGACAGTGAAGCAGGCGGAGAAGGAAGTTCCGAATGCATGGGACCCCCTGCCGTCGCTGGTACTTCATCCGAAGGGGCACAACAACTCGAGCAAGCTGAAGAAATGCTCGAAGGAGATGATGGGGTAAAGATCATTCTCACGTGTTTGAATAGTTTTGATGCAATTTTGACGGATAACCGACCCTGGATGTGAAATGATCTTTTCTCTAATTTTGACATGTGATGACACTTTTCAAAAGTGACAGAAGTTTTGAAACGTCCCACTTTGAGTAACCAGTTGCGTAAAGTGAAATGTTTCACAACTGATCATGTATACAGTGCTTTTCTTTAATGTCCCCCCCCTGTTATTTTTGAACGGGTCAACTGAAAAAATTGAAACTTGGGGTGATGAAATTGGTGCATGAATACTATATTTTGGAGTAGGATTGACAGATGAAAATTTTAAGATAGCGACTAGGCGCCATCTGGGATAAAAACATTGAATGGAAAGGGGGGGTCTTGTGATACACCATTTTGAAGCCCCCTAGACTACAAAGTCAATATCTTCATCTACTACAGAATGACGGAACATTTAATAGTTGCCTGAATACAAAAAATTAATATTGTTATTTCTAGCAATACTTGGTTTTTCCTGCCATATGGCAATCCCAACAACTCGATAAGGTTTTAGAGGATATTTTTTGTTTATATAAAAGACAAAAAATGTTAGTACGACAACGAACATCATTGTGTCGAAACTATTCATAATTAGTCGAACCGGTTTTTGTGTCCCTATCTCAACTTTTCATGTACTATCAATTGATATTTAATTGAAATAGATACAGGGTGGTTGAAAATCTCAATTCTGAACCACCCTGTACCTATTTCAATTAAATATCAATTGATAGTAAATAAAAAGTTGAGATAGGGACATGGAATAAAAGATTTTCAAGTTAAAAAATCTCGATTTTCCACACCCTATATCTCTGTAATTGTCACTGCTAGACCCCAAGTGTTATAGGTCAATGAAATCAGCTCTACAGGGAGAATCTGAAAATGGAATAATATACAGGGTGTCCCATTCAAAAAATCAAAGCTGTTGCTGCTTTTCAATATAAGCGGCAACGTCGCAACGCTGAGAATATTTTAGGTCGATAGAGCAGAACTAATTATCCAAGGCATCAATCTTTCAGAATAATCTCAAGTTACGTTCTTCAGAAACGTCTAACGTGCGTTCCACCGTGAATCAGCCTGTATACAGGGTGTCTGTAAAAGGTTGGGACATGGCTCGGCTGTGGACTCCTGGGATAAAAACAAGTTGATCTAGGCCAACTTACCTATATCCAAAATCGTCTCGTTGAGTTGGTACAAGGCGTTGAAGTTTTCTTGGACAAAAATAATTTTGCTCATAAAAGACTGGAAACTTCCACTTTTTTTTTCAGAAAGATATTCCCTTCATAAATATTTTTTGTATCGTGTTAATTTTTGATGAAGTCTGCAGGTTCATTTGCAAATAAAAAATTCCTGATCTGAGACATCTTATGCATTTTTTAGAAACATTTTGAAAAATGTCCCAACCTTTTACAGATACCTTGTATCTACATACATACAGGTGAAGCTAATAAAAGGGTGTTAATAATTGAGTTAAGTGTTCTCTCCAGCCGTAACCATATGATACAGGATACAGCCCGTATTTTATCACGCAGGTGAGTTCGGAAGGAGAGAAGCCCATCCAGGCGGAAGAGGACGAAGAGGAGGGCCGAGAAGCCGAGGCGTCTCCGAGCACCAACTCCAGAAGGGTGATGCGAGGCCCTTCGGCGCGCAGGTCCGCCAGGACGCCGACGCCGAGAGGCGGACACATGCAGAGGCCGGGGCCGATACCGATAGTGTGGGGCGACAGGTCGCCGCAAAGGCATCAAATGGGGCAAGGTATGGCGAAATAACGGTCTTCTAAGGCTGTGTCAAGTCTGTGGTTTGACCGGACACATACGTTCAGTGTGAAGTCTGACCAACCAGCTGTTTGGAAATTTGATATTTTTTGGAACATTTCTACACCCTGTAGCCCAAAAACAGGTTGTTTTTGGAAAAATGTGTATGTTCTGCCATTTTACCCCCATTTGAATAAAAAATCTTCGGTATGATTTATGACATTAAATTCTGAGACACATATAATATACAGGGTGGCATTGAAATGAGTGCAAATATTTCAAACACTGAGAAAGCTCGAATTTTACTATCAAATGACACTGATATAAAAAATTTAGGGATCAAAATAAAATTTGGGGTTAGACCCCTTCTTCCACCCAAAGTTCTACACTGTAGCAAATCTGACGTCACCTCTGTTCGAATTCCGATGCGGTAGGCACAATCACACGGAGTTCAATCATTTAAATTATTTCAATGTGGCGTACTTGATTTTTTTCTCGTATTTTGTTCAATTTTTGGGATGAAATTCCTCGTTGATTAGAAGACTCAGCATTTCAAATTCCAAAAAATGTGGAAGTTGTCAAAGTGATATGTTTTTTTCTTCAAACTGATACACCGACAATCAGATTATGATTCGCGAAAAAAAAATTGTACCGCACTGGCGGATTTTTTTTAGGATTCGGAGACAGTTTTTCCATAGTTATAAAATTCACGAGGCATTTGTATGTTTATATTTCAATTGAACAGCTTCTGGATACAAATCTTGAATCAATATATTGTAGAATTCTAGAGAAATCAGGTTTCCTGTAAAAGCCAATTCAGTTTTTTGGGCGAACTGCTTTCAAGTTTATAATATTCATGTAATTTTAAATAGGTTAATCAACCCAACTGTAACCCAAAAACATTGTCAAGGTAGTTTGTTTGATCGATCAATAATTTTCCTAATCAAATGAAAATATTATTTCAACAGCGAATTCTTGCGAATTACACCAAAGACTTTTATTCAGGGTATCTTGACAACGTGGCATTCACTTGAGTAGACATGAAATGTGGAATGCTACGCATCTCGCGGCGAGAGGTTTCATCACGTTTCGCTCGCTTGTTGTGAACTTTTTTCTACAGAATTCTGTAGCATGCAAGTTTCGCGCTCTTTTTGGCTTGCACCTTCTTGTATAATGTCTCTTCGCTGGTCTGACCATCAGTCTGACCAACCAGCTGTTTGGGAATGTCGGTCACGTTTCAAACCTGCCCAAAAAGTTACGTTAAATTTTGATGGGAGTCGAGTCAACCATTGACCATCCTGGTATCACCACTGTGGTCGAACGAATGACTTGACACAGCCTAAGAGTTTTTAGGTTCTTAAGTGTCGATCCGCTGATTTTATCGTCCCGTCTGTGAGGTCGACGCGTGAGCTCAGTCTCACTGAAAACCTTTGATTTTTAACACTGGAGTTGAGTCATTGGACAGTATCAGTAGTTGAGAGTTCGGACACAGCTGAACTGCTGTCCTTTTCTATTTTCTAAATTATAACGATTGACTCTGGATCTTGTCCTGAGGTATACAGTGCGTCCATAAAGTAACGCATAAATTCATTATTGGCAAAATGAACAATAAAATTAGAAATTCTCGAAACAGGTCGATTTTTGATTTCAATATACTATTGTTTCAAATCATAATCTGATATACAGGGTGAACCACTTTCGTGTAATGCCGTCATCACCATTTTTTTCAAATGGAACCCCCCCCCCCCTTTTTTTCAATTTCCAAATTGCCTTTGCTGAGATGATTCCAAAAATGTATAATATGTTGCTTCAAATTGGTACAGGATGGGCAAAAATGCAAAAATTGACTTACAAAGTAATAAAAATAATGAATAAACGTAATAAACACATTAAATGAAATTACGTATTGTTATACAACTACTTTGATAAACTATCAAGAACATCCAGCATTATTCTTAATAATTGTATCATACAGCTTTTATTAGTGATCCAAGCCCGTGGACTATAAAAATCTTTTTGTTTGGCATTATCTTTTACCATTTTTTTAATTTGACAAAACTGTCAAAAACATTGAAGCACAGTTTCGTATTGTTAACGTTTTAGCGAAGGTACGTTCGTGAACAATTTTCATATTTTTTTTGCATTTTTGCCCACCCTGTACAAATTTGAAGCAACATATTATACATTTTTGGAATCAGCTCAGCAAGGGCAATTCTGAAATTGAAAAAAAAAGGGGGGTTCCATTTGAAAAAATGCTGATGACGTCATTACACGAAAGTGGTTCACCCTGTATTATAGATTATGATTTGAAACAATAGTAAATTGAAATCAAAAATCGACCTGTTTCGGGAATTTCTAATTATATTGTTCATTTAGCTAATAATGAATTTATGCGTTACTTTATGGACGCACTGTATATCGGTCAGACAGGTCGTACGTTTAATCAATTCAATTATCAACAATCTCAAAAATTCTGACATTTCACTTAATTATCAATTAGACCTCAATAGTTCACCACTGTTGAATTTGTTTTCTTAGTAGGTAATAATATGTATTTGCTATCAAGCCTTTCAAGTTAATCCGGTTCACCGTATTTTAATGTGGATATTGTGCCTAATTCCCGAAAATGAAGGTTAATCGAACCTGTCCACAGGAAACTAATCCTTCAGGTTTCGGAAAGTAGGATATACAGGGTGTTAACAAATAAGTGTCACAACGGAGAACTGTAGATTACTCATAATAAAAGAAACATTTCTTTCCTCTTCAAAAATTTTCTCCAGGCTTCCGTTTTCAAGATACAGGGCGTCAAAAAATCAAAGATGTTCAGTTCAATTGAACACACTTTACAACACGTAACAAACTTAACAATTCGAAAACCAGCATCGAGACCAACATACTCAAGAACGTGACATTTGATTGAACATATTATTAGGCAGTTCTGAGGTGTTTATTTCTAGTGGATTTTCAGACGATTTTTAGAGATTTTGTATGTTCTTATTCATAAAGAGCCATTTTTCTCGGTAACTGTTCACTTTCGAGCACTGAGACAAGAGGACGTTTTTTGTGTGAAAGCTATTGGCGCTTCAGAGTCTACTTTGAAAATTACAATTTCTCCAGTGGCATGAATGTTTGGGGGGTTGAACCCTTATGAGCCGTTGAATTCTCCTACACTGACATGTCCAAGGAAATTGATCAAGAGCCCTAAAAGTAGTCATTATTGATGATAAAGTGTGTACGAAGGCTCAACTCCATAGCTCAGACGGTTCCTGAGATAGCAGCAAAAAACAGATTTTTTTATATTTTTTTGACGTCCTGTATCTTTATAACGGAAGCCCGGAGAAAAATTTCGAAAGGGAAAAAAATGTTTCTTTTTTCATGAGCAATCTACAGTCTTCCGTTGTGACACTTATTTGTTAACACCCTATATAAAAGTTAAGGAAGCCAAGGTTAGTTTAGTTCATTGTACCAGTATATCACCTGACGAAGCTATTATAATAGCGAAACATGTCGTGTGTTTGAGAATTTCGTGGAAATCCTATCGTTTGTGAAGTTTTTACATTTGCCATAGATTTGATGGAAATCGGCCGAGTCAATTCTAAATAAGTATACAGTGTGACCCACTTTCTAATGGAAACACCCCTGTATCTTACCTAATCGTTGGGTAAGGATCCTGAAATTTGCTGGAGCGATAGATATACCAAAAATGCACTCTATGACCAAGTGGGGTCAGTTTCAGTGATATACACTGCTCGCCAACAGCCATGGAACCACCCCAATTTCCGGAAAATGATATTAGGAGTCAAAATACGTCGAAAATCACTTCAGATTCGGAATCAGGACGCCTAATATACTAATTATTCATATTTTCCAATGCACTGTTTTTATCAATAGAATCCGCTATAAGTTGATTAACATAGCTTTATATGTATAAAATAGTTATTTAACCACCTAGTGTATTAATGAGGGCGATTAATGATCGAGATAATTTAACGTGCGAGCGCGTTAATGTTCGAGATCATTGATCGCCATTTAATATCGACTATATTTCTCATTTCTCCTGCAATGAAGGAAATTTGGTTCGCGAATTCATCATTCATCCGGAAACTGCTAAAAATCACCCAGTAGCTTTGTTACTGACATTAGTGACATTTGACATTTGTCGAAATGGTCAACATAGAAAATAAATTCCTTGTGTTAGAAATCAGGGATTAAAATCGTGTCAGAAACTTGGAAAGGCGAACCCGTTAATGGCAAAATCTTCGATGAAATCCATATTTTTGATTTGAATGCAGATTCCGTAAGTTATAGCATAAACAATGAATGCACGCGGTGTATGTTTGGTTGCGTCAAAAACAATCGTGCATTAATAGACAAATTGATCATTAATAGGGGTCATTAATGCACGATTTCATGAACATTAAACTAACTCGTTGATACTAGGTCGACGGAAAATATAATTTTTTTTATTCTTATTGTATTTTCACAAACATACTTCTTCCTGTAAACCCGTTCTAGAAGCAATAACATTAATTATTACTAAACAAATCAATCAGTTTTACTATCTCAAGTATACTCATTCCCGGCTAATGTGGCAAACATGTATACAAGAGAAAGATATGAAGCAACTAGCCTCATTCTCCGCATAACTTCACTGATCACTGATCTCATTCCTTAATATTATATATAAAAACCAGGTAAGCAATTTAGTATTGATTGATTCAAAATGTCTTCCTTTCCCTATGGTAGGTAAGTATAGGTAGGTAGATATATGTATAGAGTACCAAAACTTGAAAGTCCTTTACTGGAAGGGATTTGAAACTGAATGTCATGAATATTTGCATTTTTATTCAATACAAAATTGAATTTCACTTACAATTTTGAATAATCCACCAACAGATATCAATCATCTAACTAATTATGCAATGCAATTTTTCAGTCATTTTACTTGTTTATTTGGGGTTTTCTCTACTCGTTTCCACGAAATAAAGTTCAATATATGTGTAGTAGGACAAATCAGATGATTTGCCCCAAAATGTCACTGCGTTTAACAAATGTTTCTATCAATGAGCCTAAAAGAAAAAACCAATAGATTGTCAGTGACAATTTGTTTGGAAAAAAGTTTCAAGAGAAGATATATAGATATATTAAAATATCGAATTTTTTCTTATCTTTGGACATTTCAGGAACGAATCTGCTCCCGTTCTCAACATAAAAATGCAAAATATTTTTATTCGAAAATTCCAGCACGGGCAAGGAACTTTTTTCAATATTTTATTTACGAATTAAATATTGTAAAGTTTCGGAGCATCGGCTGGGGATAGTCCTGCACGATTCGCTGTTGCGTTCCAATTAACAGTGCTGCTCCTAAAGTGGCGCATGGAGTTAGTAACAAAGCCTACACAGAACTCGCAGAAAGATATGATGATGTGGTTGTGAGCATCAGAGAAGAAGTAGGACGGTGTATGTAGGTGGGTTTGGAAAACTACCAGCTGAGCGTGAGAGCGGGCCAGCTGCTTAAGTAGACCTCGGTCTCGGGGGTTAACGATGATAGTAAGCAGGCCTGCCACTGCGCATATGGTAGTGAGTACATCACTAGCCTACAAAACACAGCTGAAAAACTCTGAAAAGAGAGCTGATGGGCGGTGCCTGAAAAGGATGTTAGCCAGCTCTCTTGAGCGAACCACATCAGTCATTGAAAACACTTGGGGTTTGCAAAAAGGTCCCATTGGGGACTAGTTGCTGACGTGGAAACGTCCCCCACCAGTACCAGTATTCGAAAATTCTGTTCTAGTTTGACACTTCTCAGTGTCATATATTGAGAACGGGAGCAGATTCGTTACCAAAACGTCCAATGATCAGTAGAAATTCGATATTTTTCCAATTTACCTATATTTCTTCTCTTCAAACTTTTTTTCCAAACGAAGTGACTCCGACAAGCTATTGGATTTTTCTTTTAGACTTATTGATAGAAACATGTGTTAAACGCAGTGACATTTTGGGGCAAATCATCTGATTTGTCCTACTACACATATATTGAACTAATACTCATATCTTAATTTTGTTAAAACGAGTAGAGAAAAACCAAAATAAACAAGTAAAATGACTGAAAAAGTGCATTTGCACAATAAGTTAGATGATTGATATCTGTTGGTGGATTATTCAAAATTGTAAGTGAAATTCAATTTTGTATTGTATAAAAATGCAAATATTCATGACATTCAGTAAAGTACTTACAAGTTTAGATATTTTATACATATATCTACCTACCTATACTTACCTACCATAGGGAAAGGAAGACATTTTGAATCAATCAATACTAAATTGCTTACCTGGTTTTTATATATAATATTAAGGAATGAGATCAGTGAAGTTATGCGTAGAATGAGGCCAGTTGCTTCATCTCTTTCTCTTGTCAACATATTTGCCACATTAGCAATCACATTTTCCGGGAATGAGAATACTTGAAATATTGTAAAACTGTTTGATTTGTTTAGTAATAATAATAATAATAATAATAATAATAATAATAATAATAATGGTATTGCTTCTAAAACGGGTTTACAGGAAGAAGTATGTTTGTGAAAATACAATAAGAACAGAAAAAATTATATTTTTATACATATTATAAAGCTATGTTAATCAACTTATAGCGGATTCTATTGGTAAAACCAGTGCTACGCGTCAAAAAGAAAGAGATATATACACTGAATGCATAAATACCGCACCAGTTCATGCTCAATGGAAACCGCAATAAGAAACTGCTAACAGTGGATTGTGAAATCTTAGTAGTATGATAAACTAACCATTATTCACTCATATAAATGAACGTAACCTGAGAATTATGCATTCAAAGATGATATGAAATAAGGTTTCGAGACTATTACTATTGCAAACAGTGCATATTACATCTGGATCGATGGAATAGACAATTCCATTTAATGTAAACTTAATTTTAATATGATTGGTCAAAAGTAAAGCGTCTTATTGTTAGATGATCACATCACATTGTAACCCTAGCTAATCTTGAAACTGATGGAATATTTCTTAGTTCAGAGTAAATTGAATGTGATCAGCAGTGAATGGGCTTATATCACAAAAAAAATGTATTTCATAATTCGATAGAGCTCACCCAAACTAGCTCACCACCGCAAACCGTTTCTTGCTGTGAGCTCCCTACGTTTTATAAAAAAATATTGAAATCCCCGATTTTTCGGACCTCTGAAAACGAGGCGATGAGGTGACGTCAAAACCCCAATACTGAAACAAGACTATTCCAGACAGAGATGAATGATACATGTTTTCTGACAGAGTTAATTAGCGCGAGATCACAGTTGAAAGAATTAATATATCAGTTGCCTCAGTCTCCGACGGGCGTTTGGTATTTTCTTTTAACTATCGCGAGATGAGGTTTCTACGTCATAAGAGGGTCCGTTTTTAGAAGGCACTATTATTTATTTTCAAAAATAAAACATTCCAGTTGATTTTTCGATCGAATTAGGCCGTCAATCATTATTTATGTATAAAAGGATCATTATAAACATGGTTTGAGATTGAAGTTCTACTAAGGTGTACACGCCCATTACAATCAACTAATCACCTATTACTTAGTAATTTCGACACATGACATTCCTTGCACCATCTTGCAAATAAGATCATTTCATGGATTTCATAGAGACCTGGCAACAGCGGCGTGCTTCCATCCATCACAAACTCCAACCAATCAAATTGCAAGGAGACACTGACATCACAGCTCGGTAGCGTTTGAATGCACAGTTATTGTAATAGCATTTTCAATATTAAATAACTCATTTGTTGTTCGATTTTCTCGATAAATATGTGGTCAGAATAACCTTTTTCACTTACCTTTCATAACATTATAGCGAAAAAGTGTAAAATTTTACGATACTGGAAAGGCCCATGGATGCCATACAAAATACAATTTTGTGTTATAGCCGTGGAAAAATGTATGGCTATACTTATTGAGAGAGCAATTGACTAACAGTACGTTCATACGTTCATATACACTACTTAGCATACATTTGACATTTCCGTCATTTATTTAGATGACTTGTCACCTGTGACTAGTAATTGATTGTACAGCCTACTATTATAAATATTACTACAAACTATGCTTTTTGATGCCTAATACACATTTTTTCAGTATTTAGGTCATATAATCATTAATGTCGAATAGTTTTTTTATGAAACTTGGTACAGATCTAATTCAGAAGATGCCGATTGTAGTGGATTCTGGATATGGATTCTGGAATTTTCTGCCTCACAATGTGATCATCTAGTAGGTCTTGGCTTAAAAAAAGTGAACGCGCCTCAGCTCCAAAATACACTTTTCACATTTGAAATAAAAATGTTATTAGGGTGGCTCGCTTTCAAATGGGTCAGTCTGTGTACTGATTCAGGCTTTTGAAATACAAACTGAAATGAGTAATATATCCCATCATCCCATATTGTTGTCTGACGTATCCTATATCATTTTTTTGATCATGAAGGATTTAATAAATTTTTTTATTTATTTATTTATTATTTCAATTAAAAAAGTTTATATTAACATGAGTCCGATCTCGATCATTAGAGGATCTACAAGAGGTCAAGGTTTAATTATTTTTTCTATTAAATAAAACATCTCGCACACTCTTGAAGATATCAATCGGAAATTTGGTGTGGTTAATATTTCATAAGAAATCATCAATTTTTTGAGATTTTTTAATCTACAGGGTGATACGTTTTTGGAGGTATAGGCTTCTTTATCCCCCAAACTTTTTCGTAGTAGGTAAGCCTCTGACATTTTCCAGTTACCAAATGGGCTGGAACGTTCAATTTAGAGGCTTTCTTGCTACTCAAAATTTTACTAGAAACGAGCGGCTCTCGAGATAAATAAGCATATACGTTCTAAAACATGTTTATTTCATCAATATTTTTCTCTCAAATTTTATTCTTGTACAAAATCAGTTAACAATAATGGAATTCGCATAAGAAATAATCACATTCCGCAAGAAGATTCTACCCGTCAAATTGAATAATATTTTGATTTTTTATTTTTTCAAATGATTTTGAAAGAAAGATATTGTATGAAGAATATGGATACAACTGGATGGGGCTTAACCAGTGGCTTAACACGAATTTTCCGCGTCGTCCTTGGATTGGTTGGTTATAGAAGCAACCTGACCTTCTATCCTCTGATCCTCGCTACTGATTCAGATTGGAATTTGGTACATTTTATTGCATTAAGCGAATCATAAGAGGTCAAATTAACATGTTATTGCACGGATATGCTTATTTATCTCGAAACCGGTGGGATGCAGAAGTTTCTGAATTGAACGATCCATCCTATTTGGTAACTGGAATATGTGAGAGGCGTGCTACAAAATATTTTGGGGAGAAAAAGAAACCTCTACCCACAAAAACGTATCACCCTGTGGATTTTAAAAATCTTTGATATGATTCATGATGATCTAGAAAATATTGACCACACCAAATTGCAAAGTGATATCTTCGGAAGTGAGCGAAACATATGAATAATAGAAAAAATTATACTTTGAGCCACTGTATCTCGGCTTCTGAACGAGATCGGACACGTTCGTATACACACTTTTTTTTATCAAAATGATGAGATCAATTACTGATTTCAGTTTCTATCTCAAAATCTGAATCACCCTGTATAACAACGTGTCACAATCTTATACATATTTCATGAGGCAACAACAGCAACGGTGTAATGAATTATAGCCGGGATAATTCCAATAAAGGTCGTCGATATCGGCGGGGGGGTTTCCCCCCCCTTCCCCCAAGAATAATTATTTGTAAGATAGATATAAACTTTTATGGCTGATTTGAGTTGTGGTTTGTTTGTCCAAGTTTAGTTTTGTTTCTAATTTCTATATACACTATGAGACACTTAAGATAATGAAAGTCAGACACACCTGCATTCCAGTCATTTTTAAAACCAGAGAACTGATTTTTGGTAATACAGACGTAGACCTTCATGGGACGCACTTCTCGCGCTAGTCAGCATGAGCGACAGCCTTAACCCAGTATACTGCGATCCTGCAAAAATGTAAGAATTATCGATACTTTGCTTCGCGTTGGAGATACCGGAAAAAGTTATTCAAAAAAGTTGCTTCGAAATCGATTTTGACCCTACATACTGAATTTCAACGCAAAATCAAAATTTTGAATTTTTTGTAATTTCCATTTTCCTCCAATTCTCGATTAATGTTTCTGAATGAAATACCATAGAAACTATAAAATAGTTGGAATCAATCGAGTAATTGATTGAGATAACTCTAAGTGGAAATTATTATTAAATAATAATAATAATAATAATAATAATAATGTGTCTTTATTTTTCATTAATAAATTCTTTCGCAGATGATACTGTTATCTTTTACTCTGCGAAAGATTGGTGTGAATCGAAAAACAAAGTAATTAATGATTTTCCTATTATTAAAGAATGGTTTGATCAGAATTTATTAACAATTAATTTTGAAAAAACAAAATATATGACATTTACTTCCTATCAAAATTCTCAACCAAATTTAGGCACTATCAAGATAAATGGAGAAATTGAAATTCAGGAAACTGACTGTATCAAATACCTTGGTATAATGGTGGACAATAATCTGAAATGGGATCATCATATTGATTATGTCACTAAGAAAATAAGATGCCTCATTCCTAAATTCAAACATTTGAAAAACTTATTGAATATTCGAAATTTAGAAATGATATACTATGCTTTAGTTCAATCTCAATTAGTTTATGGGATATTAGGATGGGGTGGAGTGAAGCAGATATATTTGAGAAAATTGGAAATTGCACAAAAATGGATTTTAAAAATTATTTATGGAAAAGATTATTTGTTTCCAACTGAACTTTTATATAAGGAATCTAAGAAAATGGATATAAATCAACTCTATATTTACAATTTACTGATTCATATTTTCAAAAATAAAAAGGACATTCAGTTTAAAAAACATATCTATGACATAAGAAATAAAAATAACATAACATTGAAATATAAAACAAACAAGTCATTTGGACGTAGAAATTTTAAATTTTTAATTCCTTACCTATATAATAAAATTCCAAATGATATTATAAAAACAAAATCACTACAATCCTATACAATAAAAATAAAAAACTGGATATTAAACTCCCCTAAAAATTATTTTATTTCTTTAATTAACATTTAATAATATCATTAGATAAATTTTAATGATAATTGTGAATAAGTATGTATGAATATAAATTATTATGCGTATTGAATTAAATGCTCCGTACATTATATATTATGAATTGAATACTTGTCTCATTTCTTAATGAGACAATTTTCAATTGTGATAACTTGATATTGTTAAATATTTATTGACCTATGTACATTTATTTATTTTTTATCCTTACTACAAGGTTAACTTCGTAAGTTTTTCCCAGTTTATTCAAATTACCTTTATGTTTATTCCAATGTATATTTTGTAAACGTTTTTGAATAAACTTATTATTATTATTATTATTATAAAGAGGAGGCGGCATTCAACATGGTTGCTCTTCCATACAACCCCCTAAGTATCCAACAAGTTGACAGGCTATTTTCAATTAATTTAAGAAAATTAAATTACCTACTATTGAAATATTATACTATATAGGTACACACAGGGCACCAATTAAATATAACAACTGAATAAATCAATCAATAATGATAATGGTAACAATAAAATAATGATGACAGTAATAATAATGATAATAACAATAATAACAATAATAATGATACACCTCGTGATACACGAATTAAGGATTGGGGTTTCTCATGTCAAATATATAGGATTTGGCATATATTTTGAATGTATTGAGGGTCCGGGCAGATCTGACGTGGGCAGGTAAAGAATTGTATGTGTGAGTGGAAATATATGAAAAGCACTTCTGAAATTGGGCAGTATTGTGCTTTGGAACGGTATAACAGTCACGTGAACGTGTCAATCTGTCATGTATATCTGAACCTTTTGAAAGCTTATTGAACAAATATGGAGGAACACTTTCTTTATTTATTTTGAAAACCAGCGATGACATATGGAGCTTGAATCTTTCATCTAAGTTCAACCAACCAGATTGTCTGAATTCTAGCTAAAATGGTCATACTTACGTAGATTATAGCAAAATTTCAGACATGAGTTCTGTATTTTTTGGAGACTAGCTTTGTCTTTATGTAATAATGCAGGCCAATAAACAACATCACAATAAGCCAGACCCGATAAGATTAAAGAATCGCAAAGTTTTAGCTTCACATTAGTACTCAGGATGTCTTTATGTAGGTATAGTACTTTGAGTTTGAAATATGATTTCTTAATTAAATGACTGACGTGCTTATCAAATTTAAGTTGGGAGTCTATAAATACACCAAGATTCTTGCAAAAGTGAGATGGTTCCAATATACTATTATTGATTTTTAATTGAAATTCTGGGCTTTCGACAATTTCATTTCTGTCTTTGCCGAAAACAACTATTTCTGTTTTAGTTTCATTCAATACCAAAGAATGAGCACTTGATATTTTTGCAATATAATGCAGATCTGAATTGATTTTTTCACAAGCATTGGATAAGTCGTTGATATTGAATGAGAAATAAATCTGTGTATCGTCTGCATACTGGTGTATTTTACAGAATTCAATTTCTCTGTGAAAGTCCGCAGTGTATAGAGAGAATAATAGTGGACCTAAAATACTCCCTTGTGGGACTCCGCTGGTTATATTTCGATAATGTGATGAATTTTCTTTGATAATTGTACTTTGTTTTCTACCATGTAAATAATTTGCGAAAAATAAAGTTACAGTCTCACTAAATCCGAAATATCTGAGTTTCCTACAGAGCAATGCATGATTGAGGGTGTCGAACGCCTTACTGAAATCTAAAAGTACGAGACATGTATTGAGTTTGGAATCATTCGCCTTGAATATATTAAATCAATTGTGAATTAATCGAATTTAGTCTCCATTCCATTCCCACTCATGAAGTAAGGTTGTCAAGTCACCAATTATAATCAAGTTATTAAAAAGATGTTTGAGTCATTTCGTTGAATGAAACATAATGGGAGGGACTCATGACATCATTCTTGACTTTTCCAGCAACCAGCATGTCCAAATATTCCTCATTTTCCATAACAAAATATCATGTGAATGTTGGAGACTTGGCAACATTGTGCTGAATGCTGAGAACTGACAAGACCACGCCCACGAGTCGTGCGCGGGGTTGTCAGGTTCACCGATTCAAATGTCCTCTAGTGGGAATCAATATAATTATTTATTTACACCAATTTATTATAAGCAATAAGCCGCAAATCATAAGGGAGCATTTTGAGACAATTGAATTTTTATTGCTAATTGGGAATATTACCAATACTCAATTGAGAATTTATGAATTATTAAATAACTTATATTTCTGAAGTTCGCAATCGTATTTCAACACATGGCAACTGTGCTATGGTCTGCCCCTACATATGAAATCGTTGCATCAGTTTTTACTGGCGGTAAATTTCTAGCCGTTTGAAAATTACCGTGGCATTATTGATGATATTAGCACCTAAAAATCGACCAAAAAATTCTTGAAAATATGAAATTTAAAGGTATTTTAGTGATGATGCTATTTAAGAAATAAAAAAAAATAGTCCAACGTTGTTTACCTGAGGTTTACCTCACCATATGACCGCTATCAATTTATAATTATTTTAAATCATGAACAAAATAACTATTTTTTGTGATGACAATTTGTTTTAGATCGTGGCAGAGGAGGTCCTTCACCAAATTACCAATCCAGGCCGGTGGCTAGAAGGGCCAGAGGTCGCATGCAAAGGCCTTTTGGTGGTAGATTTTAAGTCGTCTCTCAGAATTCATCATTCCATTTTCATGTTCGGCTATTTTAAATGTTTACTATCATGTTCCAGTTTTGTATTGTATAAAATAATGTATTAGTTAAGTCGTCACATATAAAACAGTTACAATTTTTTATTTCCTCTTTGAGCAAAGGTTTTGAAATTCAACTTTGACAGACTTGATGAAAAGTGTGTTTTATTTCAACTATTGTGTAGTTAGTTGCTGTTGTGCATTTAATATTATTACAGGACTCTCAAAATGTTTATTTTGTTTTATTCATTTTCTTCACCCAATCCAGTTCAAGAAAAGCTTTGATATTTTAATAAGAAAATAACAATTTTTTGTCATTCCAGTGATATTTTTTATCAATTAATACTGGTGATTTTGAATTGATGAAAAAACTGAGCCAAGTTGGGAGTGAAACATTTCATTATAATAATACATTTATACATTTTTTTAGTCTACAGCATGTTAACACCCCCAACAATGTTGACCACTCTACCCTGATACTTCCTAGAGATGTCCCCCTGTATTTCCTTCTGAAGCTGTTTGGTTTTCTCAATCAAAACTTTAATGACTGGATCTATATTTCTAGCTTCTTCCCTCAAAATTTTAATTTTTTCCTCTAGCCTAACTTTGTTGGCTTTCATCTTCTCAATCACTGATAATTTTTGCTTGAGTGTAGCAGTCAAAATATCAACATATTTTGGAGAATGCTTGATGTTGTGCAAGTGCTGGATCCTCTTGTTAGTCAAATGATCAAGGGCAACATTAATGCAATCATTTAGGGCTGTGATAGATTCCACAGTTTGCATTTGAAGGATAGCTGGTGCCTCCTGCATCTGGGACATAGCAATCATGTTTGAATCATTGGACATTTCATATAGTCTCATTTTCAAAAAGGCCCCCAGTTCCATCAGGTTGTTAATTATTTGCTCTTGAGTTTTGGGATTATCCAGGATAGTTAGGGCCTCATCCCCTTTGGCTAATCCACCATCTATGCCAGTTCGTTCCACAACTATTCCAGACTCTTCTAGGTTAACTGCTACATCTTTGTGTGAGACTATTTCGAAACCTTCTTCACCACTAGAGCCCCAATCAATGTTCTGTTCTTCTGGTGTTACTTCTCCAAAATCAATGCTACTACCATTGTCTGTGTTGATGTCAAAATCTATTTCAGCTCCATTATCAGTATTCTCTGCAAAATCTATGTCCCCAAAATCTATTTTGTTACTATCCTTTTCATCATCAGATAAGGTGGATATGGGTTCTTCAATCTGAACAGGTTTTTCTCCATAAGTGTATTCATAAGTAGTGGTATTTCCATGTCTGACAAGATATTCTAAAGTAGGTAGAACCTGAAGATCAGCATTTTTTCCTGATAAATATTTATTGAATTCTGAATATAATTCTATAGCTGGCAAAACTATTTTGATTTTTTCAGGAGTTGCTTCATAGATTTTAGGTAGCTCTTTCAACAGTCCAACAAGTTCCATTCTGATATTTTTTCCAGCAATACCCAGTTGTTCACAAGAGGAGTTGAACTCTTTCAGGGCAATTGCCTCTATTTTTGAATAATCCTTTATTTTTTTCTCACATTCTGTTTGACTTTGCTCTAATTTTGTAATTTGCTTTCTCAAGCTTGGTATTTCAAAACTGACATTTCGAATGAGCATTTGAGCTACTTCTGCCAAATAAAGAGAGTCTTTTTGATATAGTGATATAATATCCTGCCAGTCCTTCATGCGCTGTGAGCCATACCTCCCAAACAGATTTTTTGTGTCTGCTTCTGTTTCTTTTAGTATCTCGACAATTTTCAGGCAGTGAAAATAATGGATGTGTTGACCAGAGAGCAAATTTATAATGCCTTCATGAGCTGGCATATCCTGTATTGCATTGTTTATCTTCTCCCTTACTTTCAGAACATTGTTTTGCCAATCTTTACTCACATGCCTTCTGCTTATTAGCCATTCCAATAGTTTTGTTGTGTTGATATCAATTGGTATGTTTTGTTCGTTCATATTTCAGGAATTCAGAAACTAGTTTTGTATATTATTTCATTTATAAATATCAGAATTCATTATATTTTCCATATGGTATGGTTAACAGTTGACTTTTGGTTGGCCATCAGCTGCGAGCTGACAGCTTCGTTCGTAGGTTCGTACAGTGTTGCCGTTAGCATATTCGCAATGTCAACCGTCTCTTAGCTTGCTGCCGTGTTGTGGAAAATCTCAGAGTTATACGGTATTATGAGGAAGGAAAGAATCGTTTCTGCATAAAAAGGAGACTACTTTTGACCTCTCGGCCTAAATGAACCATTTTCCTGAAAAGTATATTCTTTCGAAAATTTACTTGTGAAAAAAATTTAAAATAGTTGACTCCTCGCAGGGAGTTGCTCACGAGCCAACGCCGTAGAAGTCAGATGGACAGCCCACTGAGCTATCAATCTACTCAAAAGTTTCATCAATGAAGAAAGAAGAAAAATCGTGTGTTGGCTTGTCCATCACAATTTTTGAAAATTATACTTCTCAGGAAAAGGTTCATCTAGTAGGGGTGGGCGATAGTGATTTTTATTATCGATAATCACTTCTGTTTCGATATTATCGGTTTATCGAAATTATCGATATTATCAAAATTGCAATGTCGAGATTGTCAAGAAGTACAAATGTCTATGGAATAACATCACTCAAACTTTCGTTCATTTTTAGATCTTTATTCATAAATTAACTTTTCCAAATTAAAACATCTAGTACAACGTTTCGATCAGGTCAAAGCGGAGTTCATAGACTCTAGTTCCGGTAAAATTTGCATGAAACCGCTTAGCTTGCGATGCTGGCTAAGCTATACGCCCGGTATCGAGCATTGCCATTACGGAAAATTGCAATGTTAGCATCGATTCCAAATATAAATAGATTCCGAATCGATAAGCCATTCATTACTGATTTTTTCATTATTATTGATTCATTATTACTGATTATTCATTACTGATTACTGATTACTAATTCATTACTATTATAATGCATTTCGATAACACTTTACTTGATTCCGTAATTGAGTTACTTATTCACGAGTTGCTGCCAAAATGTGTACCGTCTTCCCGACTTTGATCCTGCTGGTCAACCCCATGTTAGATGTCATAATGTAAGTACTGTTTTCCCTGTTCTATCTGATTTGATTTCTCTGTGTTGTGTTCCGTTTGGTAATTACTATGGTTTGTCTCTGCTACTTTGCCATGTGGCAAGCATTTATTCACGTCTTTCCCATTAAATCAATAAATGTTAATTTTATACGAAAACTATCTTGACTCTACATTTGGGGATGAATATGGTTGGGTGGTAAAATGATCAAAATCCTCTCATCAAGCCAAGCGAGTAGCCAAGTTGCGATCCATAGGAGTGCAACATCTGAGTTGCGACATGTGGTCAATGAACTGTTTGCCAAATAATCTACCAAAACCATCTGAGTTGCGACAATATCATCGAAGTTATCGATATTATCGATACTATCCATAATTTCTCAATAATAATTATCGATATTGTCGATATTTCTTGCATTAAGTAGGTACCTGAAAAGGATCATTGGGTGTGTTACGGGTGGAAATTGGAGGAATATTTATACTGACGAAATAAATATATGACGCCTAATCCAAAAATGATGGTAATATTTTAATGTACGTAAAATAATCGGAATTTTTCGATGGAAACATCTTCCCATGAAAAGAACTTCAACCTTTACGCCACGCCGTAAAGTCATCATATTGCCTCCAATATTAACCAATAATAGCGAAGATCAACGCTCCCCTATGACTTCCAATGCTGCCTTCTTAGTTGGAATGGACTACGGGAGTGGGCGATTGAAATTAACAATCAACGGATGATTCTAAAATTATCGAAATCATCAAAAATTGTATCATCAACAATTATTATCGATATTATCGATAGTATTGATAAAATCGATAAACCGATAATTTTTTATCTGAATTATTATCGATATCATCGATAATTATCGATAATTAATGATTTACCGCCAAAACAGAGAGTTACACTTGATCTGGAGGAGGTGTGAGATGTGTAGATAATTGCAGATAGTTGTTAGGTTAGGACTTTGTTTTTGGAATTGTCTGAAACATAAACAACAATCTCTGTTTGGATCATTCAACTACTGATTAAACATATTTCATTGATTGATACTTGTCAGGAGAATTGTAGTTGAATCAGTATCTGAACTCAAGAAACTGTACATGATCTTATCATCAATGTCCATTCTTTCCAAGTTAAAAGAGTTTTTCCGTGAGACCCCTCTACACTTGACAGTCACTCCCTACACTTGACTACACCACAAGCACAACGACTATATATCTAGACTCCACTACACTCGTCCACGCCGAATGTGCAGTGCCGAAATATGTAACAGCGAACAGACCTAGTGAATATTAGTGAATTTGAGTTGACTGGTGGAAGTGGTGGACTTGCAAGTCTTGCAAGTTGCAAGTTGCAAGTGTTCAGTGTTGTTGTGCCTGTTGTGGTGATCATTGAAGATTGAAGACGATTACTTCACTTTTAACTTTTTCGCAAACCCGCTAGACCACATTTTCGTTGTTGTGACCAAAATGCAGTGTTGTTAAGTGTTGTTAGTGTTCAGCTTTGATATAAAAAAATAATAGGAGAAAATGTCGATGCAACGAGAAGCTGGTGTGGGCGATTTTGTTCTTATGGACAAAATCGACCTGGGGAATTTCATGAAGAATCTTGAAGTGAGGTGAGTAATGCTCTAATCGACTACAATAATGATTCATGCCCTTACCCCTTACCTACTCTAAATATTTGCTATTAAAATCCAAAATGATATAGTTACTAAAGATACAAACGAAAATAAGGTACCGACCTATACTTGAAAACTCGCTTGAAAACGACTTAAAAATATACAGGGTGTCCCAAGGGGTGTCCCAACAGAAACTTTACCACATATTTCTCAGACCAGCTAGACCAAAACAATTCCATGCAAGCAACCTAAAGTTAAACCAGTTTAACTATGGACAAAAGTGGATTTTCATCATGGTTTGGACGCTAGACGGTTGTGAAGTTAGAATTTTCAAATCGTTTTTGCTTCATAACTTTCAAAACGGCTAATGAGAATGATCATGATATGAATATCATTCCACTTCCAACATGATTAAAAAAAAAAAAACATCTAAAACTTCTACCCCAATGAAAAGAAAAGGGTTTGAGTATGAAATTTAGATTGCATATAACTTGTTTTCTACAAAAAAGGCACTCTTGATGAAACTTCAATTCGATTACGGTAATTTTGATCTTATCATGGGATGGTTTTTTTTTCGAAATTTGTTTTTGGTACTTACGTATTTTTGTCTGAAAACACGAATTTGATAATGAAAATGTGTGAACAAACCATTATTTATTAAGATATTTCACTATAAAGTTACAATTTTCACCTTCTTTTCCGCCTGACTTCTGGATCGCATTTAAAACAATTTGCCCTTCTTTTTCCATCATTGGACAATTCATATTATATCACACAATGTTGCACACATTTTTTTTTCTTTTTTTTCATTATATGAGTCAACTAGAAATATGATTTTCTTGTGATTTATCCAATTTGAAATAATGGTGTGTGTAATGTCATTCCATTCCAAAGCAATCTATTGACTTTTTTGAATGTTTGATAAATTGAATTGACATTCAACATACAGGACGTGGAAATAAATTCTGAATTGACATTTGACATCTTGTATTTGGATTGAATATGGATTAAATGGCCGTCATCTGGTATGCTTGCTCACTAAATAGGAAAAACTCACCATAAAAATCATATTTCCTGTTGAATTTTCCATCTTAAAATGTGTCATTGAAGTACATCATGTGTAAATGCATCCAACACAAGGGGGAAAAGAAGGCAAAATTTCGAACTTTTTCTTGAAATATCTCGATAAATAGTGGTTTGTTCACATTTTCATTATCAAATTCGTGTTTTTCAGAAAAAAATACGTGGGTACCAAAAAAATTTTTCGAAAAAAAAACCCATTCCATGATAAGTGCAAAATTACCTGGATTACCATAGTTTCAACAAAATTAAAATCTAAATAATTCAAAGCATTTGTCAACCCCAAAACCATTAAAATATATTTCATAAAAATTGTTGGAAATGTACATAATTTCTCCTTATACAAAGATTTATACGACGAAAAAAAATGATACATCAAGCATACAGTGGCGTGACTAGAATTTTTTGGCACTAACGCAAAACACATAAGGAGGCCCCCCTTCCAGTCTCAAATCATGAATAGTAAATAAAAATTTAAGAAGTAGCTATATTTTCACAATTTATCCTATTTTACCTACAGCCACTATAGAAATAAGTAGACAAGAACACACGAGATACAGCCTCAGTAAGTAGCTCTTTACGCACAGTAAGCACATCGCACAGTTTTCGTACGTATATGTTATTCCGCCAGTCATAATCGCGTAATCGCCGTCAACGCGGATGGCATAACTGTCATCAAGAATTATAATTCAGACTATTTGTCCAAACTTTTTTGATGCACTATATGGCAGTATAGGTGAAGTATAGCAGTACGTAATGAGTGTTGTAAAGCAATTACGCACTCGCCGCTTCGCGGCTGCGTGCGTAACTTTTCCATTCGTGAGTTATATACTTCTTACACCCATATAACGTAATATACTATTACCTCGACTATTACATATAACTTGCATAGTTGAAATATCTCTGCATTACTTCACTGTTCTCATTTCTCAATATTATTGACATTATGCTGAATCGAAAAAATCGAGAAATGAATATCCGACTAATTATAGTTTTCGTTCAAATTGGCAATATTGGCACGTCCATTGTGCATTCTTTTGGCACCTGCGAGAAGGTGAGGACCGAGGTGAGGGGAGCATCCCGCGATGCCCAATTCCCACGATGCCCAATTCCCACGATGCCCAATTTCCACGATGCTGAATTCCCACGATGCCCAATTCCTACGATACCCACCTTCATGTCGACGATTACGAAGATTGCCGAAGAGCGCAACGTTGCCAGGGCAAGATAAAAATTCAGAAAACACAAGATTCCCACCATGCCCACCTGTCTTGGATTTTCACTTGGATTTTCACCATGCTCACTTTTCATACA